AGACAGTCTAACGTCTAGGTAATTGGGAGTACCAGAAAGGGAGGAGAGAATGAAGCAGAGGCCATACTTGAAGCTATAATGGCTGAACTTTGCCAAATAGATGAAAAATATCAACCCACTAATACTAGAAGTTTTATGAACTTAAATTCAAAGAAAAACACACCTAGAACATTATAAAATTGCTGAAAACCACAGATTAAAGAGCAAATCTTAAGAGCGGCCACAGGAAAAACACACTACTTTCAGACGAACAATGTTAAGATGGAGGGGTGACTTCTCAGTAGAAATGATGTGTGGGGGATGGACTCTTAGGGTGGCCGCCATGATCCTTGCCTCCTGGTGTCCACACCCTTGTGTGATCCACCCTTGAGTGTTGGGCAGGGCCTGTGCCTTGCTTCTAACCAATAGAATAAGGCCAAGGTGACGACATGTACATGATTATGTGTGTGTACGTGAATTAGGAGATCACATGATTATGTTACATAAGATCGTGGTGCCCATTTTACTGGAGTCTCCCTTCCCTTGCTGGCTTTGAGAAGTGGACGTGTTGGGGAATCTATCTGGCAAGGGGACTGCGGGTGGCCCCTGGGAGCTGAGGGCAGCCTCGGCTGACAGCTCTCAAGAAACTGAAGTCCTTAATGCCACAACCTCAAGGAAGTGATTTCAGCAACAGACTGAATACACTTGGAAACAGATCCTTTTCTAGTTAAGGCTCAGATGAGAACTCAGTCCCGACCAACACCTTAATTACAGCCTTGTCCAGGACCCAGCTAAGCTGTGTCCAGACTCCTGACTCACAGAAACAGTGAGATAATAAATGTGTTTTGTTCCAAGATGCGAAGTCTGTGGTAATATTATTACACAGTGCTAGAAAACTAAACATGATGAAGTAAGAAAATACTTGAATTCTATATTTAAAATGCCAACAGAAAATAATTGCCAACCATAACTATAAACCCAGTGAAAATAGCTTTAAGAATGAAGATGGGGGTGGGGGAGTTGGGTGAAAAAGGTGAAGGGTTAGGAAATACAAATTGGTGGCTACAAAATAGTCATGGGGATGTAAAGTAAAGCATAGTGAATATAGTCAATAATGTTGCAACAACTATGTATAGTGCCAAGTGGGTACTAATCAGGGGATCACTGCAAAATTATATAAATGTCTAACCACTATGCTGTATACCTGAAACTAATAAAAAATAATATTGAACATCAACTGTAACTGAAAATAATTTTAAAAAGAATGAAGGTGAAAACCAGAAAGGAAAAGATTAATAAATTGAATGTTAACATTCTGTTCACAAAAGATGCTATTAAAAAAGTAAAATGGCAAGCCATAGAAT